TGCTTCTCCCGGCCCTTGAGGAAGAAGGTGAGCAGCTCCCCTTTGCCCTTGACGTAGATGGCTCCCCGGCGCACGAAGCGGAAGCCGTACTCCTTCAGGATGAGGTGGGTCTCCTCCACCACCTGCGGGGACAAGCAGACGTGGTGGCAGGCCCGGAGGGGTCCTTGGTACGGGGTGCAGGGACCCCCCCATGCCACTCGGGCAACAGGTCTACCCACCTGCCCCATTGTCTTGGGGTGCCTCACCCTGCCCTGGCCCCCCTACTTGGGGGAGCCCCTCAGCCAGCCCCAACCCTCCCATGTGCTCCTGCCAGCGCTTTCCCCCTCCCACCCAAAGCCTGGGGTCTTCCAAGGGCTGCAGCCCCACCATAGGTTGCTGATTTGTGCCCCCCCTCATCACCCCACCTGTATGTTCCCCATCACGCCGGTGGATTCCATCCTGCTGGCCACGTTCACCGTGTTGCCCCAGATGTCGTAGTGCGGCTTGCGGGCACCGATGACGCCCGCCAGCACGGCCCCCTTGTTCATGCCTGTGCGAGACGGGGAGTAGATGTCACCTCTATGCCTGGTGACATGGACGGGATGTCCTGGTCTGCAGGAGAGTCTGTCCCAGGGGATGAGTTGGGGCAATGAGGTGTGTGTCCCCCCCCCAGCCCTGCTGCCTTCAGCTGCTGAACTACAGCTTCTGCCCAGTGACCCACCACTCGCAGGGAAGGAGGGACAGGGGATGCTGAGGCAGACCCTGCCCCATGCTCATGAGCAAGAGGGAATGGCCTCAAGTTGTGCCAGGGCAGGGTGAGGTTGGCCATGGGGAACAATTCCTTCCCCTTGGGGCTGTCAGGCACTGGAAGGGGCTGCCCAGGGAAGGGGTCGAGTCCCCAGCCCTGGGGGGATTTAACAGCCGGGCAGAGGCGGTGCTGAGGGCCAGGGTTTGGGGGTGGGATGGCAGGGGTAGGGGAACGCTTGGGCTGGGGGAGCTTAAAGGGCTTTGCCAACCCAAACCATTCCGTGATTCTGTGACTCACCTATGCGGAGCATGAAGTTGTTGAAGGACTGGTAGTTGATGTTCATCAGCGTCACCTTCATGGCTAAGGCAAAGTCAGCCAGGTCGGCCAAGTGCTGCCAGCGCTCCTTATCTGAGAGGGTCTCCTTCTGCAAGGGCAGCGCGGGTCAGGCCTCTCCACCCCTCGCCCGCTGTCCCCCCACCACAGGGACTCCTCACCTTGGCGCTGTAGCCGTTGGCATTGGCATCGGGGGTCACTCCAGAAGCAGCCATGTAGGTGCTGCCGATGGTTTTGATTTTGGTGATGCACCGGAATTGGGGTTCGTCCAGGAGCTGAGCCGTGGAGACAAGACCCTCAGGCACCCCAGGGCCACGGCAGGTCCTTCTGCCCCCAGATGGGGCAGGGAGGGAAGGTCTGGCCAAACCCCATGCCATCCCTGTGGCCGGCTCCATCCCAACTCACCGCATCAAAGTCAGAGATGATCTCATTGAGGAACCGCAGGCACTCGATGCCCCCGTTGTTGATGCTCTCCTCTGTGTAGAAGTCGGCAAAGTTGGGGAGGGAGGCAAACATGACGCCGATCTCGTCATAGGACTGGCTGTACAGCTCCTGGGGACAGGATGGGGGGTGGCTGTGAGCCAGGGACGTGCCCACACCAGCACCTCTGGCAAACCCAAACCCTCCTGTGAAGCCATCTTCCCTTGGCACATGTGGAATAAATGAGGGTGCTCTGCAACCTCACCTTGCACAGCCAAGACATCATCTTCATCCAGCCAAAGATGCCCAGCCAGAACCTTCAAAGGTTCCAGATCCAGATGCCCCACACACACAAAAAAATGGGGGCAAATCCCTCTCTCCCATGTGCCCCTCACCTCATCCCGCTTCTTGGAGCCCAGGAAGTGCCGGGCCACGTGCTCGGGCAGCATGTTGGTGACAAGGGCCTCGTTCCAGCGCCGCATCTCATAGACCCGCTCCTTTTGGTCATGGACATCGATCTTCCAGAGGAAGAGGGTCCTGGCCAGCTTCTCCACCTGTGGGTGGGAGGAGATGGCTGTACCCCCCAGTTCCCACCCACCAGTGGCATCCTCTCCAGTGCTGGGAGTATCCTGGCTGCTGTGGGGCCAGTCTGGGGTTGGGGACAGCCTGGAGAGAGGCTCTGGGACAAGGTGAAGCCCTAACTGGGGACATGAGACCTGCTCCGAGGTGCACATGGGACCCTCATGGGGCAGGCATGGGCCTTAGGGCCACCACATCATACTGCCCACCCCTAAGCATGGGGGTGAGCTGGAGGTGCTCTCTGCACTGACGCAGGGCTTCCTTGGGTGGCCTTCCCTGGAGAAGAGCCAATGATGCTGTCCACAGCTGGGGACAAATCCTGCTGCCTTGGAGCTTGTAAAAAATAAGGGGAGGGCTGAGGGTGAAGACGTAGAGGGGAGGAGAGCTTCCCAGGTGGGGGCGTGAGTCACTCACGTGGCGAGAGAAGTAGTAGAAGCTGAGCATCACGATGAAGATCATCGCTGTCATGGAGTACTTGGAGGGGACCAGCGAGGACCTGCCAACAGAGGCAGCGAGGCATGGGTGGGCAGTGGGCACGGCCATACCCCCCAACCCATGTCCACCCCCTGCCATCCCTTACATGCTTTGCTGGCCACGGCGGCGGGCGTACTGGTCAAAGATGTGCTCCCAGGCGTAGATGTTGACGGCGCCGGTGGCCCCGGTGATCAGCACCATGAGGGTCAGCTTGACCATGTGGCTGACCTGCACCAGCATGATGGTGGCCACCAAGGCCAGCAAGGCGATGTAGCTGTAGTACTTGGGCTGCTCCCCGCAGCCGCCTGGCCATGGTGGCCCTGCCGTCCCATTGCCCGTCCTGCCATGGTCCTGCCGGCAGCTGAGCTAGGGGCATGAGGGCAGGGTGAGGAGGGGGACATGGGGATGGGGTGCACCTCTCCATGGGCTGCATGGCCACCCAACAGGACAGGGTGCTTTACACAGCAGGAGGAGGGTACCTGACCTAAAATCCCCCCCATCCGCTATGCAGCCTTGCTAATTGCTTTAACGATCGGCCGTGCACGGGGCCGTGCACAATTATGGGCTGCCTGGATGGAGGCTGGAGCAGGCTCAGCCCTGCTGGCACCCGGGCTGGTGGCTCACCATGTCCATGATGTCAGCCATGGTGACAATGACGATGGCAGCCATGGCCCAGGTGTTGCGTGCCCAGCGGGTCCTGTCAATCCAGGTGGAGAAGGCCACGAGCTTTTTGGGGAAGACCTGCAGGGAGAGAAAAGTGGGGAGGGGTTCACCCAAGGAGGACACAGTGGTGGGACATCATGGTGTCCCATCACCATGAGCCTGTCCTGTCTCACCCGGGGGAAGATGGCAGCCAACGAGCAGAGGGTGAGGATGAGCAGCAGGATCTCCCCCACCACGAAGGTCACGTAGTTGGCCACCAACCTGCCAAAAGGGGATGAGTTTGAAGCCCAGTGGGACTGAGCACATCTCAGGGCTGCCCGTCCCCACCTTCTCACTGTACCAGGGGTCAATGAAGACCTCCACCAAAGCGGTGAAGAAGAGGACGACGCAGGAGCAGCTGAAGGCGGCCCCACTCTGCTTCTCCTTCTCCACCGAGTAGCGTGTCTCCATCTCAGGGTCGATGAAGCGCATGGAGAGACGGAAGGTGCTCTTCCCCTTCAGCCTGCCGGCAAGACCACCCGTCACCACTCAGCGGCACCAGGGACCTGCCGAGCTGAGCTGAGACGCGCCGCCGGCCAGGGAGACTCACGCCTGGACGGACTCGCGCTCCAGCAAGGCTTCATTGAGCAGCTTGTTGAGCTCCTGCTCGTTCTGGG